TACTGCATGGCTATCATGCAAGTGGTTGTTGTGGCTTGCGTGGGAGTGATGGAGACTCTGGGAAGAAGTGCGGTGAAGCCGCGGAAACGAAACACCGGGCAGTTCTCTCTCAAAGGGGCTGATTAGAGGCAAGGGCAAAATGGTCATTTTCACTGTGTGAACACCTAGTGAAAATGGAACCAACATAAAGAGCTCGATGATACGAAGATGTGAGCGTTGGTTTCACCTCGATCGGAGTTACGGTTGAAAAGTTGTGAGGTGATGAAGATTAGGGACCAATCTGTGAATAAACTTCAGCAAACAGGCCCCTAGTGGGAAAACGTATTTTCGACCGGCTCCTGCCACCTCCAGTCGGGGCGGAGCCACTGGCGGGCTCGGGGCGATGCGTCGCTCCCTCCTGGAGCAGCAGCTGCGCCGGGGAGAGGCAGGGGCGACGACAGCTCGCGGGACATGAGCGCAGGAGGCGGACTCCGTCGACGGGCCCGGACACCTCTGGCCGAACCGAGGGCACCAGCGGGACCGGAGCGGCGAGGGGGTCCCGTTCAGAGGGATCACGGCCATCGGGGAGGAGGGGAGGCCGCGACGATGGAGGAGACAGGGGCCGACGGGCGATGGGGGTAGCCGGTGATGTGGGCGGTCTCCAGCGGGGATGAGGGTGCGGGGCGGACCTCGAGGATGTGGGGGAGGCTGTGGACAGGATGGAAGGAGGGGAGAGGGGCTAGGCACGTCGGGGTGGACCGAACTCCGGCGACCACCGAGGAGGATCGGCGAAGCAACGGCGAGATTAGAGCACTTCGGTGGACTAGAGAGGCGAGGGAGGGATGAATGAGCTGCGGGAGACCTTGGGCATCCCTTATATAGCCGAGGGGAGGGCTCTAGAGCCATGCTAGCGAGCTTGTGCAGTGCTCTAATGGTGGACAGAGGCTGGGCATGGCACGGGCATGGAGCTAGCGACTCATTTAAGGTGAACCACGACGAGGTAGCGACACAGGGCGACGCAGGGCATCACGGGGCAGCTCCTAGACAAGGTTGGAGGTCAAGACGACGAGGGAGACGATGGGAACAGGGGCGGGAAGACTACAGAGCTTGCAATTTGCATGACGCAAGCATGATCACCACGCGCACTAGAGCAAACTGCAGGTTTTGACCATGCCGACCATGTCTAGTGGATAGATCGTCGTGCCCTTAGTCGAAATGAGGAAATAAGTCCAGGGGCAAAGAAGTGATTCACACCTAGCTCCAAAACATTGCAACAACAAGGTGTTTGTAACTTGGTGTGGCTCACATGTGTGGGGTTAGACTCTAATCTTTGGCACAACGTGATCAAGCACTAAGATGATCTTGAATACCAAAAATCAGCTTAATAGGAGAGCTTTAGATGAGGGTTGCTGTGGAAAGTGCCATAATGGCCAGAATTAGAGATTTGGATGATGCACTCACTGAATATGCAAGTTGAGCTAAAAATAGTTATGGCCCAATGATTTGAGTATATTAAGATGATCAAAAAGTTTCAGGCCATTTGGATGAACCAAAGTGGCACTTGCTTCACAATGCTTGATTCTGACCAGAAACTTGGAAAATTTTCACAGGGCAAATGGAGTAATGGATTGATCCAAAACTTGGTGGAGTGAGTTTATACGGACAAAAGAATGTCCTGGTAAATTGGCAGCTTAAATGAAGCAATATAAAATATAGTTGCTTCACAAACTGAAAATCTGACCAGAAACTAAGATTTGGATTTGTACTCACATAGAAAGGTTATATGAGCTCAAATTGAGTGGAGAGTGATGATTTGATCATATGAAGGACCTTGAAAAATTTCAACTCATTTGAATATGCCTAGCTAGTACTTCCTTCACAATGCCTTCCCTCAGACAGGAACTTTGAAAAATTGCTCAGGAATATTTACTAAGCAAATTGAGTTGAATTTTGGCATGGTGCAATTACATGGACAGGAAAAGATGTCCAAGAAGTTTGAGGTCAATTAGGCAAAGATACCTAGCACTTGCTTTGCAATGTGCCATTTAGGGCAGAATAGGAAAATAATTATTGGAGGATTATTTTTGAACATGGCAATGAAAAGTTTTTCCATATTTTATCAAGATATGACCCAAACAATTTATGAGAATTATTTGGGAATTTTAGGAGTGACAGAAATATGGGTTGCTTTACAACCTAGGGCAAAAAGGATAATTCCTTTATCAGAAAAGGAATATTCCCAATAAAAAGAATATTAGGATTTGGGCTAGGATGGAAATGACAGAGTCTTGGGATGAAGATGAGGATGACAAGCCACTATAAAACCTAGGAAGACATGATCTTCCCAAGTTTTGGAACCACATAGCCACAGAAAAGCAAATTAAATCTAGAAATCCAAGAAAACCAAAGGAAAAAAAAGAAAAGGGCAAAATCCAGGGTGTCATAACCCCCCACCCCCACCCCCAACAGGCCCCCCAAGGCGCTTTGTTTATCGTTGGCGCAAAAAAAATTGCCCAGTCACGCCCAAGGAGCCCAAATTTCGCTGGTTTGGGCCGAAATTGGCGTTAGCGGACCCAGGCCGAACCCAGCGCGCTGGGGCGATCGGGGTCATCGGGGGAAAGAAACATGGCGCGGAAACAAACCACGTCAGATCCC